GTATTCGTTCGTACATTGCCGCTAGTGATCTACAGAAAGAACAATCAAGTTACTGACATGAAGGTACTAACAACAAGGTTTTGGGAAGAGGAGGATGACGAAGATGGAGAGAAAGCGAAGAAAAGGGAAAGGGGAGGATCATGTTCCGAGAAGAGCGGTCAACCTCCTGTTGAAGATAATCCGATGTTTAATGATGAGCTTGGCATAGATTAGCCTTAAATATGAAGAGAGCCTGTCTATATAACAACAAAAAAATGCGTAAAAAATCGACGTTCTGAGGAAATTTAGTTCACGGAAATCACGACAAGGGCCAGTTCGATGTCACGCGGTTCGGAATTTGTCAATTCCAAAATATGTTGCTTCAACAGAGCGAACATTCAATGGTTATGGTGAGTAAGGGCAGCAACGACGGCAATCAAGCTGCTCGTCTGCCTTTTGATAAACGGAACAGGTGAGCCATGAATAAACCACTTTAGAGGGTAAAAAAATCAGAGGCCAAAGAATACAGTCGATATAAACAAATCATCAGAAAACTACGTTCAAAAAGGCTGTCAATGAAAAAATGGGTAAATACCATTGTAAAATCAATCAACACGACTTCTGCAATAATTTATTATCACTCCAGTTAATAAGTGCAGTATTTCCGAATTCTTAGAAGTTCACTATTCTCAAACTTATCATTGCCCTATAATTTCACTATTAAATCATCTTAAAAGACTCTTGAAAACAGTATTCGCGAAATCGATATCTATCGACGCTCAAGGTGTAGCCTCATGAAGAAATTTCTCAAATATGAGTCATTATCTAATAAGTCTATTGTTATTTCGTCCAGAGCTTCGTCATCATTTGAATCTGTCCCTGACCTAAATGATATTATTCAAATGTACTATCATCTCAATACCTCTTCGCTTGAACAGATTATGAAATTAAAAAGGAGCTATTGGGCTTGGAGGGGCACTTTCATTTCAGCTAGTTTCTTTTGTTGATTCATGCTGAGTAACAGGCCTCACTTTGGTAGAACTTGCGGAATTTTGTGGGCCTATCAAATGGTACAGGTGAGTCACTTTAGCAAAATAAATTAAAACTCTTCACAAGGCGGCCTATACAAGCTTCGCTGGGTACCACGTGGTACACCACCAAGCCGAACGGCGCCGGCGCCCTCAGTATGCAGTCCTTAATGACCTTAAAAGC